AGCTGGCCCACTCCCCTTGTACAATGGGTTTTCTATACCAGGACCTGCAGTGGGGAAGGGGAAAGCATGAGTGGTGGGTCTGTAGCTTCAGTCTGAGCACTTGGCTTAGCTCTGTAGGCCCTATTTAAGACTGGGGTTCTGCTCTGAGTAGGGGGCCTACCATCACCCCACATAAAAAAGGACTTGCAGGAGAGAGAGGATAGGAGGGACTCTGCCCACCCTGAAATGCCGACAAACCTGTGATTCACAAAAGGGGTCAACACAGACATGGGGAGCATGGATGTCAAGTCCTTTGTAATTTTCAAAGGTCTGTAACTCTCGACTGCTAGAAGAGTAAAGTTTCTGTGGTTAAGATTCTTTTGCTAAGCCTAAAGTCACTTACAACTGCTCCTTGCTTTCCTACTGTGTTGTCCCTGAAGGGGTTAAACTAGAAGTCCAGTGTCTACAATCTAGGTAGGGTTCGAGGAGCAGTTGTAAGTGACTAGGGGCAGGGCAGGGAGGTCTCAAACACTGTTTTAGGGATCTAGGGTGGGTGGGTGGTGTCAGACAAGAGGTCAGAGCAGGGCCGGCTCTAGGTTTTTTGCTGCCCCAAGCAAAAAAAATTTTGGCTGCCCCCCGTCCCAGCCCTGGGCTCCTCGCCGCACCCTCCTGCTGCCCCAGCCTTGGGCTCTCCCCACCCACACCCCTTGCCGCCCCAGCTCTGGGCTCCCTCATTCCCCCACACCATTGCCCCCCCCCACACCTCCTGTTGCCCCAGCCCTGGGCTCTTTTCCCCCCTCCCCCACCTGCACCCTCCTTCCGCCACAGCCCTGGGTCACTGGTAACTCGCTCCCACGGCAGGTCATTCAGCATGAATTTTACATGTGCACAGAACACAGACAGGATTGGTTCCCATATGGTTACAGAACTGCAGTAAAGTGGAATAATTTTCAGCTTGTGTGATTGGAGGATATCTGGATGCCTATTATAAGACTGTCCTACATAAATGAGGAAAAGTTGAGGTGCCTTTATTATTCTTTTCTTCCACTCTTTCTTTCTATGGGGAATTTGCCAATGCAATATCACTGTCTTCCTTTTAAACAAACAAACAAAAAGGCAATGGCTGTTGAAAATAGCAATTCCAGTCCTAATAACCACTGGGACGCATTTCTTGCTCAATTTTATCCTACTTTTTCTAAGCAAGTTACAGTGGATCAGTATATTTGATTTGGGAGAAATGAAGTAACAGCTGCCCAAACTGAGTTTGAGCCCTCCTGAATTTTGAGGTGTTCAAATCTGGAAGGCAGGTGCGTGGGGGGGGGGGGGGAGAAAGGGGGCTGTGGCTCTGCAGGGAAGCACGACAGCATGTATGCAGCAGTGTGTCTGGCGCTGCGCGGAGCCAGACATGCTGGTCTGAGTGGCACGGTAAGGGGGTTGGGGGGTTGGATGGGGCGGAGGTGCGGGGGGGCAGTCAGGGGCAGGGAGAAGGGGGGGTTAGATGGGTCAGGGGTTGGGGTGGCAGTCAGGGGACAGGCAGCGGTTGGATAGGCATGGGAGTCCCGGGGTTTTGTCGGGACAGGGAGGGGGGGGGGGTCTGGGGGGGGAGGTGGG